TCATGCTAACGCTATTAATTTCCCATGTTGCTGGGTCGGTACACCCAACTGCTTATAGGGCTGCCCAGGGCTTTTGTTTTTTTCCTATACAACAACAACAAAAAAAACCCCTTCCCCATTGTCCCTTCCTGGGGCCCCCCTCTAGGACAGCAGTTTTCAACCAGAGGTCTGCAGCCCCCCCTGGGAGGAGGGATGAGCTGGTTTCAGAAGGGCCATGTGGCTGAAACTGGGAGCAGAACTGCAGGGAGCCCCACCCTAGGCAGGGTTGAAGCCTGGTGTGCTGAGGCCTGCCCCCCCGCCTTGCCAGGCCCTGGAGTGTTTCTACTATGTTAGGGGAGCCTCTGGAAGAAATAGGATGAGACCTCACCCCTGTTCTAGGACACACCCTCTTATGTGCGCTAGCAGGGGATCTGTCCTTTGTTCCATTGCAAAATGGTGGCAGCTGACATCTGCAACAGCGTCTTCAGCTACAGGGGTTGGTGCCTCCTTCCCTGGCCCAAGGACATGCTGCTTTTCTCTTGTAGCCTTTTTTGTTGTTTAAATTGAATTTGGTAGGTTTGTATTTAATGACCATGGGTTCAGCTCCTCTTGCTGCAGGTTCAAGCTCAGCACCATGACAATTACCTCTGGTGCTTTTCTCAAATGTGGAGCCTTTAGGAACAAAGGCAGGCCAAGGCTAGTGACTGCAGATATAATCACAAGTGCAAAATCTAGTACAGGTCACAGACACATCTGCATATTGGTTTCAGCACATACCCTAGTACTGGTTCCATTAAGACCCCCTCATACTGGTCCCAGTACATACCCCAGTACTGGTTCCAGTAAGAGTCCCATACTGGTCACAGTTCCTACACCAGTACTGCTTCCACTACATACCCCAAGTTTGCTCTGTCAACAGCACAGTGGCTGAAATGCACAAGCACTTCATCTCCATTTACAAGCCTTTGAACCAGCACCACAGGGTCAGCTGGGCCTCACCAGGTGCAACCCCCAGGGCATGCCAGATGGGGGCCTAGCTGGGCTTGGCCACACCAGTGACTGCAGTCCAAGCCCCCCACCACCTCTATTCAGAGGCACCACCCCCTCCTTACTCAGCCACACTGCCCCACCAGTCCCTACTCCTGAAAGCCTGGGTGCAGGGAGCTCATTTTCCCTTACAATGCTCTGAGCACCTCTCCCCCCCACCCCCGTATGCACCTGGAGCCGAGATCAGTGTACCCCTCAGCTGCTCCCTTGTGAAAACCAAAGGGTTAAGTTAGAGGGAGTTGACTAGTCTCTGAGGTCAACTGGCCAGTCACCACTCAGAGTCTGGCCCATGTTGTATATTGAAAATGACATGACTCGATAGCTCTTTTATTCATTTTTAAAAAACTTTTTATTCTGGCAAAGTTACAACAAAATGTTAACATTCTACATTGTATGACACATATTCAAGGTCAGGCTAATATTCCAAGAACATGGCTAAAGAGTCTAGCTTCTGGTGGGGGGAGTTGTCCTGCTCTGAGGCCGATAGAATTGGTGACCAGATTTCTACATACCTATCGGTTTTTGGCACTGCTTTAGTTGATGTGAACATTTTCCATGACAATAATAATCCATATTTTTATACGCCCAATTCCACAGGCGGAGGGAATCAAATTTTTTCTAATCCTGCTCAATATGGAACCTAGCTGCTAGCAATAAAAAACATGAAATAATCTGCTGTCTTGTTTAAAACGGGGATCCTTTACTGGAGCATTAAGTAAGCAGATCAGGGGATCTGCATTTTGTTATAAAATGAATGGATTTAATAATTTCCTCCCAAAACCATCTCATGTTTGGACACAACTACAATTCTTTTTAACCCTTTCCCCACAATTCCTCCAAGAGAGCACCTACCTATAACAGAAATATGATGTATCTTAACTAGTGTTTAGATCTAAATGCCAGCTACACAGTCATTTACAAAAAATATATTTATGAACTACATAAACTGAAGACGTACAGTCCCTGGCCTTTCCTACAGAGAGAACCACTCAGCCAGATCAATTTTTGTCCAAATCCCTCTTCTTCCATCAAAATTGTCTCCATTTTAGAAATTAAGCTTTTGTTCCAACTTGCTCTTTGGTCAACTCCTCAAACATGGTTAAAAGGTCTAGACAGAAGCATCTTGTATCCAGCTTTCACAATAAAATGTTGGACTTGTAAATACTGAAAATATGGGAGCTTTATATGTTCACATAGATTTGGCTATGATTTCAGACCAGGGCCCAGGAACAGCTCTCAGAATTGAGTAATCTCAGCTCTTACCCACAACTAATAGTCACTATCAAAAAGAAAATATAACTTTCAGTTTACCAATATAATTTGGGTAATTAGTCTCTTAGTCTTTAACCAATAATTAACTTCCTGTTTAATTTCATTTTCACTGGTAACAATAACATTTTCAAAAATCACAAAATCTTATCATATATGTTGTCTTTCTTTTAATCCTTATTTCCACCAAATGAGCCCTGGTGTAAAACAACATAGGTGCCTTCCACTACTGTGAGTTTATTGGTCTCTGACTGTTCAGCCAAATGTGTTGGTGGAAGGGGGTCTCACGCTCAGTGGGAAGGTTTGCATCATGAGAAAAAGTCACCCTAGTCTATTTTTAGACCAGGGATCGGCAACCTTTGGCACACGGCCTGTCAGGGTAAGCCCTGTGGTGGGCCGGGCCAGTTTGTTTACTTGCCGCGTCTGCAGGTTCGGCCGATCGCAGCTCCCACTGGCCGCGGTTCGCCGCTCCAGACCAATGGGGGCTGCGGGAAGCAGCGTGGGCTGAGGGATGCTGCGGCCAGTGGGAGCTGTGATCAGCTGAACCTGTGGACACGGCAGGTAACCGAATAGGCCTGGCCCGCCATGGGGCTTACCCTGGCAGGTCGTGGGCCAAAGGTTACCCATCCCTGTTTCAGACTTTTTAATCTTTCAAAGTAGCAGGAGGTGGAGGAGAAGTGATGCAAAACTAGTGCTGTAAGTCCACTGCAAAACTGAGACAAAAGCATAGAATCAGGACTCAACATTCGAACATGGAGCCTGAACATGGAGCCATTACTTCTACAGCACGATTGTCCTGCTTGTTCCACAAGGGAGCCAGATTGGGATTCATGGGGAGGAATGTCCTCAGAGGGCACCGATTGCTTCTCTCTTTTCCTCATGACACTTTGGATCCAAATGATAAAGGACAATAGTTTCCAGTGTAACCATGGCATCTTTTGGGACCACAATAAATGCCATTGAACTAGGGAACGGGGTTCCAAAAACAGTTTTATCTGGGCCGTAATCACCATAGTGTCCTTATCTTGGGTGAGAACCAACCGCTGCATTCCCAGTACTAATACTGTAGTTGTTGCCAAAGCTTTGGCCTTGGTCAGGATAAATTTACACTTCACTGAAGTAAAACTCTTTACTAAACCACATATGTTTTCAATCATCATAGTGAGAAACATTCCCCAAACATGCCCAATTTGTTTCTTTAATGTGGTGGCATTGATCTAAATGAGGGATTAGAAACAGGCCTGGATCTGAATCCCTGTAAGCCCCCAGAGGTGGGATATCTTCAGAAATAGATAGTCTGCTGCTGGCCCACATTCAGCATTTTATACACATTTGCAGCATCTACAAAACATGAGTTCAGCAAAATGCCATTTCAGTTTCCTCCATAGCTGCATAGATAGTCACAGTATTTCCCAAATCATAGGATTATCTAAGTGATATAGTGAGGTGTAAATGCCTGTAGGGCCTGGACTGCAGCTACTGCTGCTATTAGCCAAGATGGTCAGAGATGCTACTCCATGCTCTGGTTATCCCTAGACCTCTGACTGCCAGATGCTGGGACTAGATCTCTTGATGATTGCCCTGTTCTGTTCATTCCCTGTGAAGCACCAGGCATTGACCACTCTCAGAAGACAGGATACTGGGCTAGATTGCTAGGCTAGATGGACTATTGGACTGACCCAATGTGGCCATTATGATGTTCTTAGGGCCCCAGATACAAGGCCATTTTGCCTAGTTCCAAGTCACTTAGGTGGAATTCTCTCCTTTGGTCATCTGAGACCACATTGACCGAAAAAATTTAACAGTGTGATCATATGCTGTTACTGCAGTTAGTTGTACAAATTGGGATGTGCTGCTGTTCACCGTTTCAGAATATAGACTTCATTGGTAGCATGTCCAAGAGCTTGGAGTATTCTCTCCAGTTGAATGAACTGAATTTGAACGTCCTCCATGTCAACATGAAATGATGGGGAAAAAGCAAAAACAACATGAGACATTACTATTTTAGTAAATAGTCATTTGTCTCAAAGTGCCCAATAAATCTGAGCTACAGTCTATCAAATAAAACTAATATCCAGTCATGTGACAAAATGGCCTTCAGAAAAGAAAGAAAAACCCACAACACAGAGAGGAATAACACACTTTCCATTTCATATTAAGTGACATTCCAGAGCAGGTTGCATATGACGCAGAATCAGGACAACAGGTTCTCCAATTGTGTTCTCCTCTGAGCCATTCAAAACCGCTTCACTCAGAGCTTCCTCTATTATTGTCTTGTTATTTACAAAAGTTTTAACATCATCATAATGGGAAAACAGGCAACCTTCCCATCTGCAAACCATCCCAATGGAATGGAATGGAAAAAGCACAGAAGTGGTTTTGTCAATAGATAGAAATGGCGATTTAAACTCAGAATGACCCCACTGTGTTTCGGATCAATTTGCATTCCCCTTCCAGTCTGTGACACTTTCATCTCCTGCCCGAATGAGTCTAATTTAAGATCAAAGGAATCAAACCATGATTCCGAAGCACAGAGAGCTGAGAACACAGCACCACATGACACTTTGCAAGGTGGAGGGATAGAATATGAAGAAGATAAAACTCTACATGGCTCAGACAGAAGGTAACAATGCTGAGGACATGGGGGAGAAGGGAATCCCTCCAACTCCTCCCATCTCCTTGTAGTGTCACAGAGGCTGCCCCGATCCTGTTCTTTATTATATTTAAATACATTTTAAATGAGAAAAATGGTACAAAAATAACTGTTCAGCTCACTCCAGGGCAACGAGAAAACAACTGAGAATGAGACATGGGGTGGGGGTGGAGAACTTGGTGACACACTGCAGTTGGGGAACAGTATAAATGTGATGCTCCAGGATTGTTTAGACTAGGAGAAGGGATGGAGCTTAGTTCAGGTCATGAGGAAATGTGCTAGATGGCCTGTGTATAGTGGCCATGGTTATGCCTTTACTACAAGAATAGCTGTGTTTTACATGAGAATAACAGGTAGATTATCCCGCACTGTAGCTTATAGACTTGAAGGCTAGCAAGGACTATTAATCATCTAGTTTGACCTCGTGCACATTGCAGGCCACAGAACCTCGCTCACCCACTCCTGTAATAGACCCCTAACCTTTGGCTGAGTTACTGAAGTCCTCAAATCATGATTTAAAGACTTTAACTTATAGAGAATCCACCATTTATTCTAATTTAAACCTGCAAGTGACCCTGCTGCAACGGAAGGCGAATCTAACCTGGGGAAAAATTCCTTTCCAACCGCAAATATGGCAATCAGATGGACCCCGAGCATGTTGACAAGACCCACCAGCCACTCAGGGAAGAATTTTCTGTGGTCAACTCAGAGCCCTCTCCATCTAGTGTCCCATCTCTGGTCATTGGGGATATTTGCTACTAGCAGTTGCAGGTGGGCACCTGGCATTGTAGGCAGTTCCTCAATAAACTTATCAAGCTCAACCTTGAAGCCAGTTAGGTTTTATTCCCCCACTGCTCCCCTTGTAAGGCTGTTCCAGAACTTCACTCCTCTGATTGTTAGAAACCTTTGTCTCATCTCAAGCCTAAACCTGTTGATGGCCAGTTTATATCCTTTTGTTCTTGTTTCAACACTGGCACTTAAGTAACTCCTCTCCCTCCCCAGTATTTATGCCTCTGATGTATTTATAGAGAGCAATCATATCTCCCTCAGCCTTCATTTGGTTAGGCTAAACAATCCAAGCTCCTTGAGTCTTCTCTCATAAGATAGGTTTTCCATTTCTCGGATCATCCTAGTAGCCCTTCTCTGTACCTGTTCAAGTTTGGACTCATCTTTCTTAAACATGGGAGACCAGAATTGCACACAGTATTCTAGATGAAGATTCAACAGTGCCTTGTGTAATAGTACTAACACTTCCCTGTCTACACTGAAAATATCTCACCTGATGCATCCTAGGATTGCATTAGCCTTTTTCATGGCCACATCACATTGTCCACTTATAGTCATCCTGTGATCAACCAATACACCCAGGTCTTTCTCTTCCTCTGTTGCTCCCAACTGATAAGTCCCCAGTTTATGGCAAAAATTCTTGTTGTTTAGTCCCCAAGTGCCTGCCTTGCACTTTGCACTATTAAATTTCTTCCCATTTCTCTTTCTTCAGTTTTCAAAGTCGTCCAGATCTTCGTGTATTATATTTGGGTCCTCAGTATTGGCAATACCTCCCAGCTTTGCGTCATCCACAAATTTTATTAGCACACTCCCACCTTGTGCACCAAGGTCAGTAAAAGAAATATTGATAAGATTGGTCCCAAAACTGATCCCTGAGGAACGCCACTAGTAACCTCCCTCCACCCTGACAGTTCACCTTTCAGTATGACCCACTGTAGTCTCTCCTTTAACCAGTTCCTTACCTACCTCTCAATTCTTGTGTTAATCTGCATCTTCTCCAATTTAACTAATAATTCCCCATATGGAACTGTATCAAATGCCTTATCAAAATCCAGGTAGATTAGATCTATTGTTATTTCCTTTGTCTAAAAAAACAGCTATCAGATAGATCTGGCATGATCTACCATCTTATGAAACCATGATATATTTTATCCCAATTACCATTTATCTCTTTGTGCTTTACTCCTTTCTCTTTCAAAATTCATTCCAAGACCTTGCATGTATTTGAGGCCAAATTAACAGGCCTCTAGTTTCCTGGATCACTTTTTTCTTTCTTAAAAATAGGTTCTATATTAGCAATTCTGCAGTCATAGGGTATGATACCCCCCCCCCCAATGTATGGATTCATTAAAATTCAACCTTTGCTACCCAATCTGGGGCTGATGGGGATTCCTGGTAGGAGGGACACATACACTCCCATGATTCATAATTCAAATGAGTTGATAGAAAGATCAAAGAGGTTCACCCCCAAAGAATGGTGAGCTTTAAAAAGCAAAAGCAAATCGCTTGCTTGGTGGACCATGGTGACACAAATGGTTCAAGCAGCCTTAAAGTTCACTATGTGGTAATTAGTAAAAGTATTAAAGAAAATATTTTTTGGTCAGCCCTGGACAAGGTTTTAATGGTGTTTGTCTTCTTTGTGGATTCTCTGATGATAAATAAAGGCTGAGCTCTGATGGAAGTTTTTCCAACACTAAGAACATCTCTAGGGTCTCTTGCCTGTATGGATTCTCTGATGTGCAGTAAGGGCTGAGCTTTGACAGAAGTTTTTCCCGCACTCACAGCATTCATAGGGTCTCTCACCTGTGTGAATTCTCTGATGTCTAATAAGGGCTGAGAGCTGACGGAAGTTTTTCCCACATTCACAGCATTCATAGGGTCGCTCTCCTGTGTGGATTCTCTGGTGTGTAATAAGGTGTGAGCGTCGAGAGAAGGTTTTCCTGCACTCACAGCATTTATAGGGTCTCTCTCCTGTGTGGATTCTCTGATGCATAACGAGGTCTGAGCGGTAACTGAAGCTTTTCCTGCACTCACAGCATTCATAAGGTCTTTCTCCCGTGTGGATCCTCTGATGTGTACTAAGTGATGAGCTCTGACTGAAGCTTTTCCCACACGCAAAGCATTCATAGGGTCTCTCGCCTGTGTGGATACTCTGATGTGTAATAAGAGTTGAGCTCCGACTGAAGCTTTTCCCGCACTTATGGCATTCATAGGGTCTTTCTCCTGTGTGGATTCTCTGATGTGTGACAAGGGCTGAGCTCTGAGTGAAGCTTTTCCCGCACTCACAGCATTCATAGGGTCTCTCTCCTGTGTGGACCCTCTCATGTCTTATAAGGGTTGAGCTGTCAGTGAAGCTTCTTCCACACTCACAGCATTTATAGGGCCTGTCTCCTGTGTGGATTCGCTGATGTATAATAAGGTGAGAGCTCAGAGTGAAGCTTTTCCCACACTCACAGCATTCATAGGGCCTGGCTCCTGTGTGGATTCTCTCATGTTTTGTAAGGTGTGAGTGGCTACTGAAACTTTTCCCACACTCAGTGCATGTGTTGTTTCTGTCTCCCAGGGAGATTCTCTTCCGGGCTCTGGTTTCCTTGCAGTCTTTGTAAACTCCCCGATAATTAATGGAGTTACCCATTTCTCTCCCTGGCTGGGTTCCCTGCTGCCTCTCTGGTCTGTGCTGACTCTTACAGGCTTTTCCCTGCTCATGGCTCCTGGACACAATCAACTGGGATCTTTGCACTAATGCCCCATGCAGTTCCACTTGCTCAGCCTCTTCTGGCTGAGGATTCGGTTCCTCATTCTCATTCACCATCCCCTCACCTGCCGGGACAGAGAGAGAAACCTCAGAAACAGGGATGGAAAAGGGGAGCACAAAACAAAGTAAGTGCTGAGGAGACAGGAAAAAAATCAGGACTTGTATTTCCCCAAACTCTGCCTCATAAGGGAGAAAGGAGGGGATCAAATCTACCTCTGCATCTCATCCAAACAAGGGAAGGGAGGTTAGGGAGGGAGCTTCTGCCAGGAGTCAGTCAGGATAGCAAGGGAGCCATGAGTGATATCTGCCCTAAGGACACAGCACCTGATGGGGACAATCCTGAAGTTGGAGAGCTCACAAGGTCTTTGTACAGAATCCCAATGGTTTCTTTTAGGTGCTGATACTTTTTGAGTTGGTTTCATGATTCCTCACCTGTGCAGGCACCTCTTGGGATCTCTCTTTCTTCAGAGCCGTGGAGATCTGAGACCCATGGCTCATCCCTTCGTTCCAGCTGGGAGATCACATCAGGTTTGGAAACTGGAAACCCTGCTTGGGGGGAAAGAAAACCAGGGAGATCAGCTTAAGTCATGGAACCTCTGTTGCAAAAAAAGTTCTGTTATTTTAACACCTGCCCATTTTAAAGCAGTTAAGATGTCAGGGTGAGTTCCACCGATTCTCAAAGGTGCAGGTGACTCTGTTTATGAGGCATTTAGCTAGCTCCAGATCTGCTGGGAACACACAAAGCCAGACACTCATGGACAAGGGGACTCCTAAAATGCAGAGACGATCACTCCATGTTCCAGAATGCGAAGAGTCTAGTAAGAGGGGAAGTCACCCTGGAACTGCTTCTTGCTAACAGAGAGAGGCCCAAAGACAACGAAAGGTCATAGGGAAGCTGGGACCAGTAAGAATGGACTGGCGGGGTTCAGTGTAGTATGGAATAGGATGGAGTGGGGAATGCCACCAAATGCAGCAGCTCAGGGTATGTGAAAAGGCTCATGTGAAGAAGGCTGGGGAATTAGATGCTACATCTCAGGATGCTCATTCCACTGGAAAAGGAGATTGTGAATAATAAGCATAAGACCACGTGACCTTGGGAAGGAGTGACTAAATGATCCAAGAACCCCGCAAGGAAGCGAGACTGTGGCTGATGCAGATGGGGAGGAGGGGAGTAAGATTCTCTGATTTCCCAGAAGTTTCACTGCCAACCTGTGACATCACCGAGAAAGTGCCCATTTGTGCCAGGGGACTGGTTATCTTGTGGCTGGGAGGGACATAAGTACTAACGAAAGGTGGCTGGGGTTGCAGGGGGTAGGGAAGGGTGGGTGTTGGTGTAGGCACCGAGCGGTGGAGAGAGAAGCAAAGTGAAAATAATATTGGAAAAAGTGAAAGTGGACTATAATCAGAGTGCAGTGCAGGTTCCAAATCAACAGGGCCTCGGCGGGGATGATGTGTTAATGGGCTGGGACTCTCTGCAGATCAAGATCCGCAAAACCTCCCCTATCTCCTACTGACCCTGCCCTCCCCACGTCTCTTAGCATATGAACATACTGCAATGTAAGCCCAGATCTGTGGACTCACATCTGCAGCCTCATTGTTTGTAAACCTGGGTTTGAAAGCCCACACTTTATATTGACCCTAGATTTAGAATGTCTGGACATGGATTTCATGTACCCACACTGCACTCATGTATCCACATTGCATTACACAGACCCAAGTCAAACCAGCCTAACCCAGATTTCCCGGTGATCTCCACAGCTGTCGCCACTCTAGCCCTTTGTTCGTGGTGCACTGAGGGGACTTAACAGTCCACCCTGTGGCACTTTACAGAAGTTTTTGCAGGTCACCAGGACACCCAGCTGAGCCATCTCCTGAGTCTGCATGCTCTTGACAACTGGAGCCAGCAGCATGGACAAATCACCATCTGAAGAACTTGTCCTGCTTGTGCTTTCACTCCTGTGTCAGGAAAGAGGCAGAGTATGCATGAGACACTGGTGAACATTTCACTGGCATTTTCTGATCTACTGAAGGCACCTGTCACAGGATGACGATGACACAGACATAGCAGCCTGGAACTAGCTGACACTGCTCACCGCTCTTGGTGATAGCCACTGGTGCTCCCTATGCAGACAGGTGCTTCTGGAACAGGGCCACATGCACAGATTGGTGGGATCACATCATCATGCGGACCCGCAAGGACCAGCAGTGGGTTCAGCACTTTTGCATGAAGAAAGCTACTTTGCTGGAGCTTTGTGAGCAACTAGCCCCAACCCTCCAGCATCGGGTCCCATGCATCAGGGTGACCATTGGCCACTCAACCCTGGTGCAGTCCCATGAGTTCCTGGTCTGCGGACATGGTACCATGGAGGGGATTCAGGACATGGTGCAGGTGGAGCAGGAGCCTGAACTCTCCCAGCCATGACCTCAAGCAGCGTCTCTAACACGTCTTTCTATCTTCCTCCTCCAAGGGACGTTCCCACTCCAGAGACTGCAGTGCAAGTCTCTCCTTGCATGCTGCACTTCTTCTCATGTTCAGCAGCCTGCTTTTCGCCTTTCTGCTTGCCACGAATCCTTTCCCCTTCGGTACTGTTCCTCCTTGTTGGCCCTGTCCAGGATGTCCATCATAAGCTCATCACAGACATGGTTTCTCCCTGACTGCTCCAGGACACTTTGACATGGAGCCCTTGTTGCCAAGAAGGCTAATGGCATATTGGGCTGCATTAGTAGGAGCATTGCAGCAGATCGAGGGACGTGATTATTCCCCTCTATTTGGCATTGGTGAGGCCACATCTGGAGTCTTGTGTCCAGTTTTGGGCCCCCCACTTCAGAAGGGATGTGGACAAATTGAAGAGAGTCCAGCAGAGGAAAATGATTAGGGGGCTGGGGCACATGACTTATGAGAAGAGGCTGAGAGAACTGGGCTTGTTTAGTCTGCAGAAGAGCAGAGTGAGGTGGGATTTGATAGCAGTCTTTGAATACCTGAAGGGGGGTTCCAAAGAGGATGGAGCTCGACTGTTCTCAGTGGTGGCAGATGTCAGAAGAAGGAGCAGTGGTCTCAAGTTGCAGTGGGGGAGGTTTAGGCTGGATATTAGGAAAAACGATTTCACTAGGAGGGTGTGAAGCACTGGAATTGGTTACCTACGGAGGTGGGGGAATCTCTATTCTTAGAGGTTAAGAATCTCTATTCTTAAGGCCTGGCTTGACAAAGCCCTGGCTGGGATGATTTAGTTGGGGTTGGTCCTCCTTTGAGCAAGGGATTGGACTAGATGACCTCCTGAGGTCTTTTCCAACCCTAATCTTCTGAGCCTATGATTCTATCCCAGGCTTCTACTGGACTGGGGTTCAGCTGCAAAGGTGGACAGGCATGAGAAGAGACATCAAATTCATTATTGTCTCAGAAAAGGTTCAGTGCACCTCCAGAAAAAAGAGCCTGTGGAATGTCAAGGCCAAAAACCCGATACTTTGTAAAACTCAGATTCATTATATTCTCAGACGTTCTAGTTCTCTGCACCTGAGAAGACAAAGAAAACAGCTGTTGGAATCTGGGGGAGGGATCCTGACCTGAAGAGTTGGTGAGTAACACTGCTGGAAGCATGCGGTGAGAAACTCTGCTCCAATCTAATATAGTTTGATAAGTTAAAACACTTTCTAGTGCCTATCTTTATTTTTCTTGTAACCATTTCTGACTTTTTAGCCTCATTACTTATGCTCACTTAAAAGTTCTCTCTTTGTAGTTAATAAACTTGTGTTATTGTTTTATTTAATCCAGTGTGTTTAAGTTAGTGTCTGGATAACTCTATTTAAGGTAATAAACTGTTGTGTATTTATTCCTTTGAAGGAATAATGGATATAATATAATTGGACTTCCCTGGAGAGGGCTGAGCTGTACAGGACATACATTTCTGGGGGGAAATCCGGGACTGGGAGTGTGATGGAGTCACCCTGCAGTACAATCATGGCTGGTGAGAGCTCGGGTATGACTGGCAGGCTGCAGTTCCACAAACACATGAGTGACCTGCATGCTGGTGGCTGTTTGTGAGCAGTCCAGGTTGGAGGCTACAGTGGCAAGGCACTGCAAGGCACCCCAGGTTACAGGGCAGGGGTAACTCAGACCCCCACTGGTCTGGATTGTACCCCAGTATGTCACAAGGAAGTTGGGGGGGGGGGGTTGCTGTGGTTTACTACCTAAACTTTCTTAGTCTTTCAGGCATTCCACATTCTGGAGGACATCAAAATCCTGGAGGTTCCTGAATGGCAAAAGGACATTCTATTCCAAGGTACCGGTGACAAGCCAGCAGTGTCTGCCACAGAGATTTTCAAGCTTATGGTGACTTGGCAACACATCTATGAGTGGAGTTGGCTGGTGTTCTATAGAGGAAGGCCTGGGAAATACACCCTTCCCTGAAATGTGACTACTTATCTGGAGTTCCTCCTATGGGAAAAGCTTGCAATCCTCAGCACCTGGGATTGGGTCAAAATTCATGAGGGAGTCAACAGGAGGCTGGGTTAGTGTCTGCATGGATTACTGCCTTCCTATGGATTATGATACACCCTGCTCTGAGTACATCTACCTCTGGACTACATACAGACACACACAGTAATACGAATTCTCACAGAACTGCACAGCCACGCCCACCCCTTTCCCTGGCATATTTATGGACTGTCTACAAACTCCCTGATATTTTGGAAAGTGAATTTGTCATCCATACACTACATTTTCCCTTGCCCTGGGATATCTTAGTGATATCTTATATCAATATTCTGATATCTCTGAGATATATCTCTGAACAATCACTATAACAATCCAAATTTTAACTAGGACAATTTCCTCCAATCTAGAGAGCCAACTAGGGGTTTTCTTACCTGTGCTCACAAACCGTAGAATTGTGGGGAAGCAAATGGATGGGAATCTGGGGGAGTACCATGAGTTGGTTGAGTTCAGGATCCTGACACAGGGAAGAAAGGTACAAATCACCCTGACTTCAGAAACAACTCGACTCCCTCAGGGAACGGATGGCCAGGATCCCCTGGGGGACTAACTTGAAGGGGAAAGGAGTCCAGGAGATGCTTATTTCAAGGAATCCCTGTTGAGGTTACAGGGACAAACCATCCCGATGAGTCAAAGAATATAAATATGCAGCACCACTTGGCTTAATGGTGAAATCTTAGCGGATCTTAAACATAAAAGACTTACAAGAAGTGGAAGGTTGGAATATGACCAGGGAAGAGTATAAAAATATTGCTAGGGCATGTAGGAATGTTATCAGGAGGGCCAAACCACCTGAGCTGCAGCTAGCCAGAGATTCAAGATAACAAGAAGGGTTTCTTCAGGTATGTTGCAACAAAAAAACCAAGGAATGTGTGGGCCCCTTACTGAATGAGGAGCAAACTAGTGACAGAGGATGTGGAAAACTAATTATAATCTTTTTTCCTCTGTTTTCACTAACAATCAGCTCCCAGACTCTAGCTGGCATCACAAAATGGGGAAGAGATGGCAGCCCTCTGTGGAGATAGAGGTGGTTAGGGACTTTTAGAAAAGCTGGACGTCA